GTCTTCAACTGTTTCTGGTGGTTGTCTATCAATCAATATACTATCTGTCTGAAGCTTTGGCTTTGCCAATTAGTATGTAATTTTGACCACAACTTTTATACAAAATGTGTCAAAACTCGTATCTCTAGTAGTGAAATGCACAGACGGATAAGATTTTAAGACTAGCCGTAAGACCACATGAAAAGAGGCGGAAGGCTAAAGGATATAATGGTTTTTCCAACCAAAATTGTTCCTAAAAGTTTCCCAATAGATACAACATACCTACGATACAGATAATAAAACCATTATCGAATGCTTTAGATAATACTGTGATAAAATGTATAATATTCGACATTGATTTAGCATAACGTCCTTGTGCTTATCACAATACGGGAAATAATTTATTCATTTCTATCTTTGGTTATCCTTCGGGAATTCAGGTCACTTCCATCTGGGCCATCTGAAAGTCGGTGTAAAAACCTATGGTCATTGGTAGACGCCACGTGGCAAGTCTGTTTACGTAATTAGCTATCTTAAGATTTTCGCAAAGAAGTGCATTAAAGAGTGGGAGAGCCATGCTTCGGCACGAATGGGCCGGCTCAACCGGAGTGATACCACGGCCTCAGAAAAACCGACGTTTCACGTCGTGTGATTGAGTTCAACTACCAGGAGGCTCAACTACCAGGGGAGACTGGGGAAGGGTCCCCAGTGTCCCCCATTTTCCGGATCCTCCACAATCCTCAAATTCCCAATTCCCAAAAAGCCGGTAACGCACTTGTAACACCTTGGCGTTCCAGGTAACCATTGGCGGCGCCGTTTGCTTACCATCAGGTGATCCGTCTGCTCGTTTACCGGCTTATATCATAAAAAATATCGAAATTAATCGTGGTTAAATTTCCAATTCGTAAGAAATGGTACCTATGTACTACATAACATAACATTTTCTTTTATCGTGGGAGGAAATCAACGGTACTTTTGTATTCTTTGAAATCAAACCGTTTATCTTCGTCAAAAGGATATTTTTCATTAAAAATGGTCGTTTTTACAATTATTTTTTTGTTCCTTCGTTTCTTTTGACCTCTAGACGGAACAAGTACTGAGAAGTAATTGTTATTTTTTGCTAAAAACTTCTCTACAAGGTTATTTGTTAATAATTGGAATGTTTTCTTTTTCAATAAAAATTAAAAAGAGGGCATTTTTAGTTAGGGGTGTTTTTGTTGTTTTGTGTTAGAAAATTGAATAAAGTCAAAGTCAAAGTCAAAGCATTTATTTCAATTAAACCATAGTTTGGTACTTTTGAAACGTCAACAAATACAAAATAAATAATAGTCTGTCAGTCAGTCCGTCAGTGAAGCTAGGTGAAGCTAGGTGCTCATTCCAAAACGTAGATTCGAATGGAGAAGAACGAGCAAGAAACTCCATTCGTTACTCTTTTAAAAAAGTATGTTCTACAATGTCTCTGATACATATTTCAATACTGTACGCATATGTAAGAACAATGCAAAGACACGCTTGACGCATTATACTAATAACTTACTAAAATAAAAATAAAAATAATAAAGATCTTAAGTCCAACATGGTGCTCACATATGCATACTGACAATCCATAGAAATAGTGCTTCTATACAAGAAAAAGGAAACTCTTTGTTTCAATAAAGAAAGAAATGCTCGATGCCATAAGGAAACTAGATTGTCTACATTAGAATTAAAGTATTAAATTATGTATTATATTACCTACTATTGGAATTTAACTACTGACTACATTTGAGTATTGTCCAGTGGAGCCGAACCAACATGCTGCCAAGCATTCTTATCTTCAAGATAATCTGTCAGTGTGTAGTAAGCTTGATTACATAATTCGCGCTTAATATATGTTTTAAATTTACTTTCATTGAGATCTAGTATGCTATTTGGTATTTTATTATAGCATTTAATACCTAACCCCATAAAGGATTTCTGTACTTTGGACAGTCTGAATTGCGGTATAGCTAACTTATTTTTGCCTCTAGTATTAAAATTGTGTCTATCGCTTCTTTTTTCAAACAATTGCCTATTTTTCCTTACATACATTATATTTTCATATATATATTGACAGGGCACCGTTAAAATATTTATCGTTTTAAACAATTCTCTCAACGATTCGCAACGGCGTAAGTTATATATTGCTCGGATAGCCCGCTTTTGCAGAATAAATATTGATTCTATTTCTGCAGCTCGACCCCACAACAAAATGCCGTACGACATAATGCTGTGGAAATAACTAAAATAGACAAGCCTAGCTGTATCCACGTCCGTGAGCTGTCTAATCTGTCTAACTGCAAAAGCAGCTGAGCTCAATCTCCCCGAAAGCGCCTTTATATGCGGACCCCATTGTAGCCTATTGTCTAACGTAATGCCTAAAAATACTGTCTCGTCGACAAATTCTAACTTTTGACCGTTCAAAACAATATCACAATCGTTACTACGCACGTTTGGTAAACTGAATTTAATACATTTTGTTTTTTTTTCATTAAGTGCTAGATTATTAATGGTAAACCAATTATGCACTTGAAGAATGGAGCTGTTTACGTCGTCAAGATTATTTGTACGTCGATCTACTTTAAAAATTAATGATGTATCATCTGCAAAAAGCACCATTCTTGGTTCATTTTTAAATATAAATGGCAAATCATTTATATAGACTAAAAAGAGAAAGGGACCCAATATTGAACCTTGAGGAACGCCCATATTCATCCCAGAGCCCTGTGAGTTAATACCGTTAACATGAACCTTTAACTGTCTTTCTTCTAAATAAGATTTCATAAGACGGAGCGCAGAGTTTCTTATCCCGTAATGATCTAATTTCAGCAAAAGTGTTTCGTGGTCAACGCAATCAAATGCTTTTGAGAGGTCACAAAATACACCAATAGCATCCTGTGCTTCCTCCCAAGCACCAAATATTTCCTTAATCAAAGTGACACCGGCGTCAGTTGTGCAACGACCTTTAGTGAAACCGTATTGTTGTTGGTGAAAGATGGAATGTTTATTAAAATGATGAAGCATCCGAGACAGCATCAACTTTTCAAAGACTTTGCTGAGAACCGGTAAAACAGACACTGGCCTATAGTTGTTAGGTTCTTTAGTGTCACCACTTTTAAATAGTGGGATAACCTTACTATATTTCATTAGGTCAGGGAAAACACCGTCATCTATACATTTATTGAAAATCACAGCCAGATATGGCGCTACAGTTTGGATAAGTGACTTGCAAACCATTACCGATAAGCCCCAAAGATCCTCCGTTGATTTAGTCTTGATTTCTTTAAAAACTTTTATAATTTCTAGAGGATTCGTATATCGAAAACTAAAGTCGTATTGACATGATTCTATGTTGTTCTTAAGCAAAGTTACAGAGAGGTTTGCTGATGACTTTAAATGTTCAGTTGTTTTAATAGGAATACTAGTAAAAAAATTTTCAAACTCCTGGGCTACATCTACGTTTGATGTAATCTGTCCCCTTTCGGTATTTAAATTAAATTCTGAGTTTCTTAATCTTTTCCTACCGGTCTCGTTGTGTATAACTTTCCAAGTAGTTTTTATCTTATCATCAGACGATTTTATTTTATTACTAATATAAAGACGTTTCGCGACTCTGCATACTATTCTAAAGGTTTTTGAATAAGATGTTACATACTGGTGAAATTGGGGGTCATTTTTGTACGGTTTCATTCCATAAAGTTCAAATAGGTTTTTTTGTTTATTGCAGTTGAACGAACAAAGTTAAGCGTTTTATTCAAAAGATTCATAAAAATACTTCTATGGGCTTAGTACGAGTTCGGTTTACGTAAAGGTAATCGAAACGAGACCGCGTTCGGCGCTGTGATTGGTTAATTCATTAGAGCCGACCAATCAGCGCCGAGTAAACTCGTACTAAGGCCTCTGGACATTAAAACCAATGGCCTTATTTGTGGCACAAAGTTCGCATAGCTAATCTATGGTTAAAATAAACATTAATTAGGTTCGAATATAACCTCTTTTGTCCTGCATGATCTAATACCCCAGGATATCACGCTCATGTCACGTGGTTCACTATAGTATATTGAATGCAGTGATTTGTCATTGTTAAAAGTTTAAAAAGTAAATATATTATCTTTGATAGGTAGTTTATTTGTAATGATGAATGCCTAACTTAAAATATACCGTTTGTTAAGCTGTCAGGTTTATCAATACATTAATAAACACCTGTGTTGTAAAAAGTTTTATTTGTTTTGCTTTGTGATATCTTTATATATACCTTCTGGGGACATTTGAGTTGGAATACTGATCCGCAATCATCACCATGTCTGTATTTTTTACATTTTAAGTAGTTTTAACTTTCAACCACTCTAGTAAATTATTACTTTTCTAATTTTTGCACAGAAACTACCTATTTGTGTACTAAGGAAACTAGAACCAAACAATAGAACGATGTGTTATAATTCTATTTGAGAATGTAAAACAATTGTCACACTAAAATGGTACTGTCACACTCATACCTACGTCTCTATAAAATTGAGGAAGCACGCGCAACTATCGTGCATATTATATGCATTATAGAATCGAACCCGCATACCTGTAACGCTAAAACTTTCTATAACATCTTACGATTATCTCGAAACAGTGAAAGTTGATTTGTCCAAGATATTTCACACATAGGTAGGTACTTACAATGTAGACACTGGGCTGGCTGGCTCATCGACCTATTCTAATTTATCAAATTTCTTTAATGGAAAATCAAATTAATACATTTGTGATAAAATCGATTCTCTGTTGTTATGAGTTAACTGTATGTGATGTCTAACTATAATCATCATAAAATCTATCCATATAAATAGAAAAGTTTACTTTATGAACAATTCCTGTGACAACCAACTCTGAATTTACCAACATTTTTATTAGATTGACATCGCTTTCATCTATGATTCAGCTTCCAGTATGTAAATGCTTTATGTCAACAGCATGACATCAAACATGAATATCCGATGTTATCCTTTTATTTCCTTACGTAAATTAATGTTAAATAACTGTCACAAATCAAAATAACTGGTTATAAATCCAGTAATTATGCACCTAATGAGGTTAGACAACAACAATAACCGAACACTTTCAATTTTTTTTATGTAACTTCCGAATCTGGGTTGTTTGCTGTTTAACCTAGATAATATTGAATACGAAAGTTGATCTGTACGGTCGTTGGTTTAAGTTTACTCTGTTAAAACTTATTTTTTGTTGATCTCACAACGAACCTGGCGAATTAGCTACCGACAGATAATTAGCAGCAGTAGCAGCACCAATACAATTTAAATGGCCTACTAGTAACCACAATCGTCAATCTCTCTGCCGAGCACGGATATATAGCAGCTTTTTTGTAAAATAATTACTGTAAGACATACTACATATTTAAATATGATGCAGCAGCATCCTCAAAGTTTTGATTTGTAACTGTGATCCTTAATCTCTCCGCTACGCTTCTGGATTATGACAACTCTCTTTCTTAAATGTGAACTACTGTATAAAGCAATAATCTTTATAAATATTTAAATGAATTTCTGTTCGTTAGTGTCGCTAAAACTCGAGAACGGCTGGCTCATTTTGGTCCTAAAATGTTCGTGGAAGTCCAGGGAAGGTTTAAAAAAGAACTTTTAAGCGGTGCAAAGTTTACCGGGTCAGCTAGTAGCTGATAAAGATTGTAAAATTGCAAAAACAAAAATGAGCCAAGTACCCTATTAGCCAAATAGGGAAGATGCCTAATTTTTTTGATGACTAATTAGACTTTTAATTTTAATACCCTGTTATTATCCCAATTAATGGTATACTTAAGTCCTTAACAATACAGTTCCAAACGACTTCTATAATTAATTGGTCATCATTTGACTATCATTACTCTTCACATTTTCTATACCTAGAACCTTCGTTTGTTTTATACTATTAGTCATGACACTGCAGAAGGAAGGTTGCGATAGATTACAATTATTATTTAATAACACACTGTATGGGTGACATAATCATATAATTGCCGTAATAGTAGAGTGATCTTCGTAGAAATTATTATGGAAATTACCTATGAATACATAAGAGGAATAAGAATAAAGTTTCTTTCAGTAAAACGATTGCAGTTTTATCATCTTTTAGTTACAGTTTTATAGTACAATTTGAATTCTATTTTATTTTTGTTCTCTTATAATATGTTTATGAGGTTGAATATGCAAAATACTGAATGGATTTAAATGAAATTTGACCTTTAGCTTAGTCGTGTTCATTCAATTCTTTATTCTTATAAAAATAAAAGTAGTTGTTCTTCAAAAATAAGTTTTATTGGTACGAGAGCTTCAACTATCTCGTTCAAACTTTTCGCTCTCAGAGTTATAAAACAGATAATATTTACATAACCCGAGATTTATTCTCAAAATATCGTGTTCGGAGTTCGTACTCCACCAATGGGGAAGTTGATAACTCGATTGTAATCACGTAACTTTTTTACGGCACTTTTTCGACAGCATAACCCAATTTTTGATCAAAATCAACCAGTAGCCATCCGCATCTTAATAAGGAAGTCAACAACCCCAAATTAGAACATAAAATGACTTCACATGCTTAACATAACTAGTTTTTAAAACAAGACGTTTTATAAACAAACTTCCACATTATTATTGAAAATTATATTGTTTCCAGATATTTCTACGTCTACAAGTCACGTAGACTTCAGGCTTCTTACAATTTATCCAATTATGTCCCCCTTGCAATCTTTAAACTTATTAAGTTGTTACGCATTTTTTTACTGTTTTGCTGACCCCGTTTTGGTGTCTGAATATGAGGGATTGTTTAGAAAACGTGGAGCTATGACTAAGCCGGATGTTCATAGGTTAAGCTATGTTTGTTAAGGTCGGTTGGTGATAGATGGATTTTGGAGACGGCGGTACTAATAATGACCATTGGAAGGCAAGTATTTTTGATACTTGAATACGAATGTCCATCCATTAGTTGGATAAAGAAAGAACTTCTATATAGAACTGTTACTTTGACATAGCCAAAAACTAGTATACGTATCCTGTCACAAAGATTTGCCCCTTTGTTCAGCAACCGACCGTGGCCATCTTCCGGCATCCGCCTTCTAATGATACTGAACTGAAATCTACGTAAGTAATCAACTGAATTCAAACTATCTTCAGCCAGAATCTTCTCTAGTACTACCGTAAATGTGTTTTATAAATAAAATTTTCACATAACACAAAGACCCGGAAAAGTTCTACAGACTAAACAAATACACTTAACCTCCAGATAAACCTGTACGGTATAAAAATAGCAAAACTCTTAGTCACATCATTGATTTAAAACTGTTAATTAATGTGGTATTAACATCTCTGTAATAAATATTGTTTTTACCGATTTTTTTTCGCTGGACAAATATCCGTTTCCTATTTTTCTTTTTTAATGTTTTGACGTTAAATATATTATTATAATAGTTATTTATTATGTTTAATTAATCTTCGTTGTCATTACCTACTTACACATTACATATTTTTCGCTCACTATTAATTTTCTTATCATTTTGTTACTTAGGTGTGTATCAAGTACGTCAAGAAAAGTTAACGCATTTTGACGACTAAAAGATAATTTTATAAATACTAAAAAATAAATAACAGTTCATTCAAATAAGAATAAAAATACTCTTGTCACTTCTTCTAAATCAAGCTTTCTAGAAATTTCAAGGATTTATAAAAATAGATGATACAAATATCATAACAATACAAAACTAGTATTATTGTAGTGTATTTGTTTGTAATAATAAGATATCAAAGTCAGTTCGAAACAGGTATTTTGAAACTTCCAGTTATAAGACAGTTTTTACGAAATGTCCAGCCTTCAAAACAACGCCAAGGTCGTATAGAATGTCCAGGCGGCAGCACGTCAACTTACTCTTTTGTCTTTATTAGATTTTCAGTCTTTTTAGTATTGATATAAAGTCGAGAATATAATAAAAAATTTGGCAGGTGTGCTAGCCACTGCACATTTATTTAGCATAAAATTTTTATTATGATTTATTTCAAAATTTTCGCATTACACACATTATTTTTTACTGAAATTAGACAGGTCTTATGTACAATTGATGTAAATTCGTATTTTGCATTGCAATGCAATTTCTTTTTATTCATTTTATTTACGTCGGCCATGAACTTTTGAGAAATACTTGTCTAGTTATTTTAGTTTAAAATTCCCTCATCAATGTAATTACTAAGTACTATTTTGCCAAGTCATTAATTTGTGCAAAACCTTCGAAAAAACTGGCAGATGATATTAAAAAAATCCTAATGTCGTCATCAGTTATGTTTTTAATTATTTCGTAAGAAGGCAATTTGATGGTAAAAGTAAATAGGATTTCCTTTGTAATAGGCTTAAAATATACCCAATGACAAGTTATGCCACCTGCATCAGTTTCAAATCCTTTTTGATGGTGTAATACTGGTATGTAGTACTGCCGTGTGCCGTCCCATCGGGTTCAGAGAGTGAGAGAATAGAGAGTGCACCTGTATTTGCATACACACACTTGTGCGCTATAATATCTCCTACGGAGTGGGCTAATCTAGTTAGACAGACTGGCCACCATTGGAATTTACTTGTATGTACCTAAGCTACGTTAAGTGTACCTCGTAATAGATATCCTCCTATGTGTCATTCCATTAGCTATATACGCACTAAAAATGTACATATTAAAGTGTAGAAACCATAACATAACATAACATCACGCCTTTTATCCCCGAAAGGGTAGGTGCACACAGAAGTAACACCCACTTTTCACTATTTATGTTATGAGTCCCATGTAATAGCCGTGAGCCTATTGCCATATACCGGACACATTTCCAGACTCCGTGCTACTACTGAGAATTTTTTTAAAACCCAGTAATAGATATAAATAAAAATCATTACTAAATCTTGCAAGAATAGAAACTAGATCTTATCTATTCTTATTTATCTGGTTTATTTTTCCAGTTCCAGTTACTTCTCACCTGTCCTATTTTACATTTCAGCCAAATTGCATCTTAGCAGTTGTTGGGCTGGAGTTGGAATGTTTTTTAACTAGCTGCTACCTCGCGGTTTTACCAGCTCTGCTCAGTTCCTATTGTTCACAGCGTGATGTGTTATAGCCTATAGCCTTCTTTAATAAATGCACTATCCAACACAAAAATATTTTTTCATATCGAAACATTAGTTGCGGAGATATACGCGTTCAAACAAACAACATCTTCAGCTGTTATAATAATATAAGATTTCTGCAGTTGTGTTATGTGGCCTCTGTGGCATGAAGACATGAGATGATTTTTTTAAGGGGGAAAATCATTGAATTACTTCTCCCGCCTGGGTGAGGCGGGAGGGAGTGTCAGACTCTTACTGACTAAAAACCACCCCGTTCCTGGCGGCGAGCTACCCATGCTCGCCGTCCGCAGGCCCGTGCTTACGGTGGCCGGAGATCGTCCCGCGATCCGGAGTGTCCATCGCGACTAGCATGACTGCTTCGCAAAAGGAGAGACGGCATCCCAGCCCCCCTCGCTCCGCATCATGACTCGGACTAGGACCAAACACGAGAGGTCGCCGCCACCGATCACATCCCTGAGGGCACGGCACACGGAGGACATTGCCCTAATTTTGCCTTTTGGGGTTAACATTTTTTTTTATGATAGCACTTATTAATACCTGTGTTTGGCATTGATCGTTACTGAGGTCATTCTCATCGTACACATATTTGGACAATCAAGAATGTAACACCCGTATCATTATTAAGTATTTACTTTAAAATCCTTTAAAGTTTAAACCTCAAATATTGGTTTACTTCACTCAAAAATATTGATGGTAAACAAAACTACAGGTATTGTTGAACCTGATACTACCTACATACTAACAAATTAAATGTCTCGAGTTCTATTCTCGAATCAGCAGTCTGGAATTGTGTTTGCTGTGTGACAATTGGTTAATTTTTTCCATTGATCTTCTAGCTGCATTAATGAATAACCCTTCGGTGAATAAATGGCGTAGTATTCTACTATAAAGGAAGTCACAGCGCATTATCATAATTGTGATTATTAGTCATCAACGTTTTAAAAAACATTAAAAATATCATTCGAGACCAAGTCAACAAACTAATGGAGACAGCAAGCGTGTCAAGCTATCCAAATTAAACAATCCATTTTCGACCTAATTACGAAAGCAATAACGTTGGATATCTGTTAATGTATTTCACAGTTTAGCTAGCTTCATGTGCCTTAACAATTCTTTGTTCCTCTGACTCAGTACTTGTTTGTCGAAAATATTTGTTTAGGCTTCTCTCGTTTAAAAGAAAACGGGGAAATATTTGTTTAAGGTTATGTTGTTGACAGTTTTGTAGTTACGGTGATTTTAAAAATGATATCTCGTAAACATAACAGAATTCCTAATAGAATTTAATGTGGGTGAAAAAACATAATTACCAAAACGTATGTAGGTACGCGCGTAACTTTTGAACAACTGTGCCAAATCCCCGAATTTATCAGGATAGTTCGTAGGGAACTGGTGTCAGGGTGAAGTTGGCGCGTACTTTAAGGTTGTAGAAGTCTAAAGAAAAACAGATTCTTACAGAACAAATTTTAATTACGTGTTGTTCACGAAATAATTGTTGGTTGCATTTGCAGAATTATGCCAAATTCTTCCTGTTAGGAATGAAAATAGAAGTATGTATTATTGTGTTTCCCATAACGAGTATCACTCACAAAACTAAGTGCGTACAATCTATTGCGGGCAAAAAATATATTAACTACTATTTTTTAACGGTGAAATGAAGAAATGCGTGTTAGCACAGTGGCACCATTTTTTTGTGCATCTTAGAGGTTTATACATACTTTCACTTTGTCTATTTGTGTGCTATCAAATGATAAATTATTCTAGTTTATTGTTAACAACGTACATAGTTATGTTAAATAGTTGAAAAATGGAGTTCTACTTATTTTTTTTTGGGAAAAGTGGGGTGAACTCTTTTGTGATAATATATAATGGTTTTGAATTTGAAGTCCGCGTGTACCTACGTTCTAATATGAACGTAGTTGTGTTTGTTTTTGCTATAGATTTTATCGATATCTTTCTAAATAGAAATATTTTGTTACTTGAATAAGTATCAATAAAAAGCATTTATCTAAATTGTTTTACTCGTTCTCGAGTTTTGCATTTGGCAATAAATTTTATTGTTTATTTTTATTTGTTTAGGTTTATGTTTTATTGGCTTATTGTGTGTGGTGTATGTATTGGTAAATGTATATCAAAGAAAAATATGTCTTGTTCCAGGTACGTTCCTGTTTCACTCAAATTTCGCTGTTTCTGCTCACTGCCAGTCTAAATGTATGTACTATTAAATATTTCGTTAACACCTTACATTTCATACAAAAAATACATAAATTGCAATGGTGTATCATAAATCACGTGTTTAATACATAAAACAGATAATAGTCGACTATAAAATTTCTTCACCAAGGTCGAATGTCATTTGCACGTCATACAAGGTCTATTTTAATACTGTTTCTTATACGTGTTCTTTTTACCCCACAAGTTCTTTTCTCAAAAGGTGATGCTAAAGTGTCACACGATAGATACGGAAGAGATAGGGTTCTATCATTATGTTAGCCACAAGACTTTTACTGCTGAAGGCGAGGTGAGATCAGCACTCTGATTGGCCGGCTCCATTGAACCAACCAATCAGAGCGGCGAACGTCTCGTTTCGATTATTTTATACGTAAAACATACACTTATTAAATCTTCCTACTAACATAGGCCTCCCCTAATGCTTTTCAAATCAGTCAGTTAGAAGCATTGTCTATCCTCCTAGTCCCTGACAGGATTTATGCAAGGTATTCCAGCAGCTGTAGCCAAATGCCATTTAGCGCTTGTCGACATGTAGGATAGTAAACCAAATTATATGGAATTGACGTAAATTTTGACACTTGTTAGTGTCATCCCCATACATTTTGATTTCTACTCTCTCTGTAGACGAGCGCTAAAGTGGCGTTTGGCTATAAAGGCCCAGGACCGTTAGACTCTTATCTATACATATTTAGTATAATAATATATTATGATGCGATTTACTTTCTTTGTAAACAATTGTCATCCCATTGTTTTTTTATCATAATGTCTGTCCTCACCCTCACACAATTCCACCTACTTAATTCATAAATCTATTTACAAATTAACTATAGTTTGATTCGTCTTGTTTAAACTACCATACATTTTTTCACTCTTAATTCGAAGAAGTAAATTATTATCATGGCCTCTAACACAATAGAATCTGTATCACATGTCGATTTATAAGTAATTTTATGACACTACTTGTCTATTCTATTCAAGTTTCACGTACGCCAAATGTTAAAAGATTTTTATGCTAAAAAAGACGCCATTGACGCGGTACGATTAGTTTTATTTTGTGTTCAGTCCATTAATATTAATTACGTGTTGTAGAATAGTGAGAGATTGATAAATGTGTCTCGATTATGTTACGTGATAAGACAACCAGAGTTAAAGTAAAATATTATGCCAAATGTAGTTGTTGCTATGTGTGTAAATTGTGTACAAATTATCAGTTAAATTTTTCTTGCTACATAAATTTTTGTTGCATTTTTGTAGCAAGTATTGTTGTATTTGAGTAGTGTTTTCTCCTGAGTCGATAGTCGAAACAAAAATTGATATGAAATTTGATTTACATGTAGTATTTCATTTTATATTATAACTAACCCTAACGATACCTTAGTCCAAGATACAATGTTCGTATCCGACAAAATATCCTAATGAACAGTTAATATGTAGGTAATTTAAATCTAGTTAAAATATTTTTATAATATTTTAATTCACTAGGCCATTACTAGCTTACGAAGCAGGGTAGATGTCCTCTTATAAAGTTATGACTAAAATAGACATGCTATTGTCAAAAAAGTAGATATAAATGTGGGGAAACTCACCAGCGTCATTAACGTCTGAGGTGGATATTTAAATTATAATTCAGTGTCAATGAATAAGCTAGGTACCTAACTACTAGATGACTAAAGATAGAATAAACCTACAATTTTTGAAGAACTAGCAAATAATCTGATGGCTAGCTAAGATTGCATAGAAATGATGATAATGCTATAATAAAACTTTTTCAGTAAGTAAAAGGCGTACTACCAATTTCAATAGAAAAGAAAATTGAACCAGATCAAAAGCATCTTCTCTATTATTGCTATTACCTACCATAAATGGAAAACTTCCTAGACTCACCGTGGTGTACCATCCTGTCTTTTCCCTAGTAATACACGTTGGCTGCCGGCAACGTGTAGCGAGTTCGATTCCCGCACTGAGCAAATCTTTGTGTGATACACAAATTGTTGTTTCGGGTCTGGGTGTCATGTGTATGTGAACTTGTATGTTTGTAAATGCACCCACGATACAGGAAGAAATCCTAGTGTGGTGCAACGTTAAAAAAAGACACATTCCTAAAGGGCTCCGAATTACTGTGTGCTTAATAATAATAATAATAATAATAACTCTTTATTTCAGACTCTAAGATCCATAGTTACATGCACAGTAGTTGATTATTACAAATAGAATTATAAAATATAACAAAATAAAAAAAAAAATTCAAATAAAAATAAAAATTCAAATTAATAATTGTATATGTAAATGTAAATAAATTGATTAATAATACAATAATTGGAAAAAAAAATGCAAATTAGGTGACTATAGCCACCCATCGTCTGTACGTGGCAGTCAAATGCAGGCGGTCAGCCAAACTCCTAACAATACCATTCTTACACATGCCAACTCCGGACATAAAGGAGGCTATCCTTTTGCGCTGTATGGCATTAAAGGTGTCAATACGAGCGTCAAAAAACATCCCCGAAGCGCTGCAACCTCTCGGTAGTCCCATGAGTTGCCTGTAGACGTTATTGTATGTGACTCTGATGGCATTGTGCGATTTTTTTGTATAATTAGTCCAGAGTTGACACGTGTAGAACGTCTGACAAAATGATTTAAACAGTGTTACTTTCACGTCAGGCGCAGCACTACAAAATTTTCTGGCGATCATATTGCCCACCACGCACAGAGCTCGTCTCTGTCGCTCTATATCTTCATCATCCTTCAGGTTGGAGGTTACAATATGACCCAGGTACCTGAAATGCTGAACAACTTTCACAGTATGCCCATTTAAGCGCAGCTCCGGCACATTTCCGGGCCCCTGTCTCGATCCAAAGACGACCATTTCCGTCTTCCTTACATTGTAAGCAAGATCGTGCTCTCGCGCATACCTCTCGCAAACATTAACTAGCCTTTGCAGCCCCTTGATCGTAGGACTGAGCAGCACCATATCGTCGGCATAGCTCAGATTGTTGACATATCTGCCATCCAATCTCAGTCCGACGGGAATACTGCTCAGTTCCACGACCAAATCATTGACATAATAGTTAAAGAGGTCAGGTGAGGTCACCCCGCCCTGCCTCACACCACATGACAGTCTGTATGGATCCGACATTTCAGTGTCCCATCTGACGCTGTTGGTCTGATTACTATACCAGTATGCCATCAGACCAACAACCTCAGAGGGAACTTCCGACCCGCGCATTTTTGACCATAGAAGGTCATGATTTATAGTATCAAATGCACGGCTCAGGTCCAAAAAACATGCGTAGACTGTGGTATCGTTTTCGGTGTAATACCTAACAACCTCCTTAAGCGAGAAAATAGCGAGGTCGGTCGACAGCTTAGGCCGAAAACCGAACTGGCCATCATCAATACCCAACTTTGTAATGTGTGCATGAAGAGCTCGCTCAAGGATCCTGGCCGCAATCGTCGCCAGGGAGATGGGTCTATAGTTGGACACGCTCGAGCTATCACCAGTCTTGTTTTTTGGTACAGGCACCACTAAGGTACGCATTAAAGCCTCCGGTAAGTAACAATGCTTCATGCAGAGATTAAAGAGCCGCGCCAAGACGTCACATATATATCTGCCAGCAAAAAGTAGGTGTTCTATACTAAGGCCGTCGTGGCCCGGAGACTTTCCGCGCTTCATATTCTTCAAAATATCTTCAATAATTTTCGGACTTATGTTAACGCAGAGAGGCTCCGAACCTCGACCGCTCATAATATTACTAAACGTTTTACTATTATTATTAACATTATTTTTATTGAAATGATTCCGAAAGATGTTTGCTATTTTTTGCTTGTTATTTTCTCCCTCTACGTTTACTGGTATGCTACTTTTATTGTCTAATTTTTTTGTTTCCTTCCAAAACTCTATGAAATTATTATTTGAGCGGTGCCTAGCTAATATTTCCATTTTCATTTTATCTTGGTTTTTCAGTACATATTTATGCGCGGCTTTAAACTCCCTGCGTGACGCAGTCATGTTATCAAAATAATATCCCGAGCGTGGCCGACCATGTATCACCCATAGAGAAAACATTTTTCTGGCCCTGGTGTGGTAGCGCCTGACGTGATAGTTCCAACCTATTACTTTACCTGATTTACGACCTTTATGTTTTTTATCAAAATTGCCGGTGCGCTCTGCTGATGACTGCAGCGTATTGATAATACTGTGGTAGAATGAATCTATACATTTAAAATGGCATTCATTCCTACACAATGTATCCGCTTTCATACATTTCAGTTCACAATCATTGCCATATCTATCCATCAAATAAAAGAAATTTTCGTCACATAATTCAGAATACATTAACGTTTGTTCCCTGTCTCTGGTGCCCCAAGTATGTTTTTTATTATTTTTAATTTTATCGTTACTATCACAGTTTATTATCTTCCGGCTAATTGTATTGAAGTTACAATCTACGACTAGAGCCCGAGGGCCCGAGCGTAGTCGTTGTCCTTGCTTGTCCTCCTACCTCAATCAACTCAAATACTATCTACTGTCGTCACGAACTAATTAATTTTTTTTGCAAATTTCCCAAAACACTCGAAAAACTTCAATGACAATGTTATTATGACGTACCGTCAACTTTTATGGAGGTTATGACAACCGGTTAATGAGACGTCAAATACGAGTTTATCATACTTTATACTGCAAATTAATGTTTTTTTTTTAAGAAAACCTGGTGTTTTTTTGAGTTTAGGCCTTTTTTGTAAACGCTTCTACCCAAGCTTGACATTTTGAATTATATCTCTATATTTTTACTTTGATAGCCAAAGCTTCATGGACTTCCTGATTCGAAAAAAGAGGTTTCAGAACTGAAAAATTCTATTAAACCTAAGTATGAAATCTGAGATCCCTTGTTTGATTATAATATGTATCCAATCGTCTAAACAATCAACAGTAGCATGTATGCCAAAAAATTATGCCAAATTATATTATATCAAATAAT